GCTAAATCCCTGGCTCTTGCTTGTTGTTATTATTATTATATTTTTGTTGTTGTTATTATTAACCCTTGCACATGCTTATAGCATAGGATGTTTACACTCACTGAGGTTATTAGGTTCCTCTATATGGCACATCTTTATTCCACTTATTTCCCCTTCCTTTCCCCTTCACCCCTCGCCCTCGGTCTCTAAGACCCCTTCCCATGCACAAGAGATCCATCCCCATGTCTCCTATTATCTAAGTTTTTCTGCTACCCGCCTTTTCCTCTTGTTCTTGGGAGCCCACACATTAGGACTGTGGAAATACCTAAGTATTTTATTTTATTTGGGTTCTATTTTAAATGATTTTTTAAAACTCTGAGTGCTGGCCGGGGATTTAGCTCAGTGGTTTCGCCACCTGCTGCGCAAGCACAAGGACCTAAGTTCAATCGCCGGTACCAAAATAAATAAATAAATAAATAAATAAATAAATAAATAGAACTCTGAGTGCTAGTAGATTATTGCTAGTAATAGACTTTTTTTTTGGTATATTGTCCTTTTACCCTGTGACCTTTCCCAACTCAACAATTAGTTATAGGAGTTTGTTTTTTTAGTAAAGTTTTTAGAATTTTCTACAACCACATCATGTTGTCCATAAACAGACTGAATTTGGTTTCTTCCTTTCTCATTTTATGACCTTTTTTCCTCACCTTATTGCCTTAGTATTGCCTTATTGCCTGGCTGTGACCATGTACCTCATGACCTGGATGTGGTGTGTGGTGGGAGTGGAGATGTAGGACATTTTTCCCTCATTTGTGAGCTCAGGGGAAGCAGTCAGTATTTCACCGTTGAGCAGGGAGTCAGCTGTAGGCTTTTGTAGATGCCCTTTGTCAAGTTAATTAAATTCCCTTCTGTTCCAGGTTCAATGAGAGCTTTTAAGATTATAATGGGTTTGGATTTGTCAAAAGATTTTTTGCATGTATTGAGATCATCATATATATTTTATTCCTTTGGTTTATTAGTATAGTGAGCCACAGTGATTAGTTCTTGGGTGCTGAAGCAGCCCTGAGTTCCCTGGATAAATCCTCATGGGTTGTGATGTATTATCTGCTTTGTATAGTGCTAATTATTAATTGAGAATTTTTGTGTCTATGTTCCATGAGGGATGTTGATCTGTAATTTTCTTTTCTTATAACATACAGTGGTACCTTGGTTCATGCACTCAGTTCTCTCCTCGATTCTGATTGCAAGTCAAACTGGATGAGAACCGAATCAAATTTCCCCATGAACTTAGCATTGAACTGAACCATTGAATTTGATTCTGTTCTTGTCCAACTTGGTTTATGACCAGAATTGTGGAAAGAATCAAGTTCGTGAACTGAGGAACCACTGCATTTGCTTTGCTATCAGGGCAGTGCTGAACTCTTACATGAGTTAAATGTTTGGTTTGGAAAGATTTTCTGAAAAGAACCCCAATTGCACAGGTTAAAGTATCAAGAATCAACAAATGGAATTATATCAAATCAAAAAGCTTTACACAGCAAAAGAAACAACCAACAGAGTGAAAAGACAACCTACAGAATAGGAAAAAATTTTGGCCAGCTATTTCTCAGATGAGGACTAATACCTAGAATATATAAAGAACTCAAAGAAAAAATTAGACCCCTCCAAAATAAAAGACCCAATCCAAAAATGGGCAAGAAAATGAATAGATACTTCCCAGAAGAAGGACAAATGGCCAATAAATACATAAACAGCTCAGTGGTACCGCACCTGCCTTGCAACCGCAAGGCCCTGAGTTCAATACCCGGTACCGCAAAAACAAAAACAAAACAAAACAAAACAAAAAATACATGAAGAAATGCTCAACATCACTGGCCATTAGAGAAATGCCAACTAAAGCAACGCTTGGATTCCATTTTACCCTAGAAAAAATGGCTGTCATCAAAAAATCAAATAATAAGGGGCCAGAGATTTAGCTCAGTGGCACTGCGCCTGCCTTGTAAGTGCAAGGTCCTGAGTTTGATCCCTGGTACTGCAAAAAAAAAAAAAAAAAAAAAATCAAATAATAACAAGCCCTGGAGAAGTTGCAGGGAAAAGGAACCCTTCTACATTGTTGGTGAAAATGTAAACTAGTACAGCCACTAGAAATCAGTGCGGAGGTGCCTCAACAAACTAAATCTAGAAATTTCATTTGACTCAGCTATTCACCTTCTAGGTGTCTTCCAAAAAGAGTTAAAGACATCATACCACAGTGATGCATGCACAACCATGTTTACAGCAGCTGAATTCCTAATAGCTAAATCTTGGAAATGGCCTGCGTATCCATCCATCAACAGATGAATGAATAAGGAAGATGTGGTATTTATACACAATAGAGTACTACTTTTCCATAAAGAAAGATAAACTTGAGCCATTTGTAGGAAAACGGATGCACCTCGAGACCATAATGTTAAGTGAAATAAATCAGACACACAAGTTTCAATATTGCATGGTTTCTCTTATATGAGATACCCAAAATGTGAATAAAGAGCAAAATGAAAGCTAGACAAGAGGAAGCAGGGACAGAGACCTTTCTCAAATGGGAAGAGGATCAAGGGATAGAGGGAAGGGAGTAGAAGGGAAGGGAGGGGGTGAAAGAAGAACCAAGATGTGCGATGCTCGTGCACCAGCTCCACCAAAGGATGGAAACATTATGTACTGCAAACATGCACTAATCAAAAATAAAATAAAACATAAGAAATGTTTGGTCTGGTTTTCTGCCAGAGATGGCAGAGTTGGCTTTACTTCTTTAAACTGGTGATCTACACGGTGATGCATCAGGCCTGAGGTTTTCTTCTGGAACGTAGGACTCTCCAGGTTCCCTATTTTTTTCTTGAGTGAGTTTTGGTAGTTTGTGCTTTTGAAGAATTTCTCCATTTCCCCTAAATTGTTGAATTTATGGAGAGAGTATTTGTCTGAGTCTGCTAGGGCTGCCAGAGTAAAATACCACAGGGTTCTGGAGGCCAGAAGGTGAAGACCAGGGTGCTAGCCGATTGTTTCTGGAGAGGAGGCATCTCCCTGGCTGGCAGATGGCCCTGTTCTCGCCAAGAACTGACACGGCCAGGAGAGAAAGGGTTTGGTGTCTTCCACTCCTCTCTGAGGGCACTGAGACCAGAGCCTGCCCAGTGACCTCCCCACAGGCCTGGCCTCCCGGGCAGGCCCCGGGAGCCTTGGGGCTTCCACATATGACCTGGGGAACATGACTCAGGTCAGATCTGCTCATGCTTGTTTTACTGCCTGTGGGATCAGGTAGTACGTCCTTGCTCATTCCTAATACCAGCAATTTGTGTCTTCTCTATTTCTTGATCGGTCTGAATAGAGTTTTTTGATTTTATTAACTTTTCAACTCGGTTTCATTGATTTTTCTTTATGTTTAAAATGTTACAACTTCTCTTTCTTATTTCCATCCTTCTCTTGTTTTGACTTTTTTTCTCTTCTAGTTACTTAAGATGGGGGTTTATATTATTTGTTTGAGGTATTTTATTTTTTCAGATAGGCATTTAATAGTATGAATTTCCATCAAAGTGCTGTTTAGCTGCATCCTGAAAAGTTTTATGTGCTTGTATTTTCATTTTCTTTCAGTTCAAAACATTTTTAAAATTTCTTGGTACTTTCTTTTTTTGGTACTGGGGATCGAACTCAGGACCTTGTGCTTGTCAGACAGGGGCGGTGCCACTGAGCTAAATCCCTGGCCCTGGTACTTTCTTTTTGACCCATGGTTATTTAGAAGTGAATTGTTTTCCAAATATTTGGGAATTTTCCAGATATCTTTTTAGTTTAATTTCGTTATTTCAGAAAGATATTTTGTACAATTTCCATTTTTAAAGATTTCCTAATGATTGCTGGAGTTCCAGATGAACGTCCATGTGCAGAGAGTGACCTGGGCGGCCATTCTGTGCAGCACCATTGTTAGGGCTACAGATCTTGGGCGTCCTGTACCCTGGCTGAGATTCTGCTGTCTTTTCTGTTGATCACTGAGAGGGGTGTCGGCGTTTCCAATGAATCATACTCCCAGTTTGATTAGTTTTTGTTTCATGTTTTTTGAAGCTTTGTTGCTGGGCATGTGCACATTCAGGGTTACCGTGTCTCATTGGATAGGGGGCCACTTTATCACTGCACGGTACCTCCACCCCTGCTGAGAAGGGTCTGTCTGAAACTAGAGCCTGCATGGTGGGTCTTTCTGTCCATTCACTGCCTCTCCGTGTCTTCATATGCAGGGTGGGTCCATCCTACCCTTCTGTGCTCTGCCACAGCAGCATCCCTGGGTGGAGACTATGGATTGGCCTCCTCTTGCAGACTGCACGTGCTGTGAGGACAGGCAAGGGCTCCTCTGCCTCCTCCGAGGTCACAGAGGTCTGAGGGGACTGTGAGGGCCCAGAGGTCCTCATGGTTAGAAAGGCCAAGGGTCTGTAACAGGAGGAGATGGCCCCTCTGGTGCCAGGCAAACTGCCCAGGTCCTGGGCTGCTTCAGGATCTGTCCCTGCACTGTGTCCAACACTGTTGGGCATGGTCAGTTCGGTCCAGACGGCCTGAGTAGGTGGCCAAAGTGGGAGCCCGGCAGGTAGAGCTGGACAGAGACTGCACCTGGGCTCAGAAGCCTTAGCTGTGAGCATGCGGTGGGAAAGGATGGGGAGGTGGAGACCAGCAGAAGCACAGAGCTCAAGAGGCTGCAGTCTCTCCAGTGCCTCCACACTGCGGGCAGCTGCCACCTGGGCCTCAGCTGTGTGCTGGGCTCCTGGCACCGACACGACCATTCTGCACTGAGTGTGGGTAGGCGTGTGTGGGTCACAAGTAGTGTCTCAGTCCCCAGTGGGTTCCCCAGCATGCCCTGATGGCCGCTTGTGTGGGGTCAGGGCACCATGGACCTGGGTGAAGTGGGTCTGGCTGACCTTCCTGCTATTGGTGGCTTTGGGGCATTGTGGTGGGCCCTGGGGTATCACGTAGGGTGTCATCGTGTGACTGCCTCAATGGGCTCTTTTCAGGGCTGAAGACAATGATTCCACTGGGGGAATGCACATACGCGGGCAGGAAGAGGAGGAAACCTATCCAGAAGCGGTAAAGCATCATGTCCTTACTGTATACCCTGTGTCCTCACAGGGTTTCCATCACAACGTCCATGTCACTGCCATGTCCCTGCACGTCTCCCTTGTGTCCTCTGTGTCCTCGTGTCCCTTCTGGGTCACCAGCATGCCCCTATGTATTCCCATTGTGTCCTCTGTGTCTTCATCATCTCCATGGTTTCCATGCCCCTGCCATGTCCTTATTGTGTCCTTGCTTTGTCTCCTTTGTGTCCTTGTCATGTTCTAATCATATCCAGTTCTATCCCTGTGTGTAAACCTGAGACAATTCAAAGAACTGTGTTCAAACAAAACCTTCTATCTGAACGTTTGCAACAGTCAGCATTTCTATTGCTGAACAAAATACTGAGCACCCAGAACTTCAGGGAGGAGAGGTTTATCTGGCTCATGGCTTCAGAGGATCCAGTCCATGGTTGGCTGCTCCAAGGCAGGAACATCATGGGAGAAGGATATGGCAGAGCTAAGATGCTTACTTAGTTCACAGCTACCAGGAAACAAAGCAGGGGAACAGTGCCAGACAAGAAAGGGCTAGGGACCAAACACACCCACACAGACACACCCAAACATGTGGTTTACTAAGCCTGTAGGCAGCTCCCAAACCAATCAAGTTGACAGTTAAACTGAACCACCACAAGGTCAGAGCAACTTTGTTCACAACCAAAAAGTGGAAAACCGAAATGTTTACCGACTAGTGAATGCATATCTAACATGTAGCCCATCCACACACTGGAATATGATTCAGCCATAAAAAGGAACAAAGAAATGACACACCACGACATGTGTGATCCTTGGAAGCATTCTGTTACATGAAAGAAGCTGGGCACAAAACTTCAATATTGTTTCAATCCATCTACTTCATTTGTGGAAATATCCATAATGGACAAATCCAAATGGGCAGAAAGCAGATTGGCAGCTGCTGGGGTCAGGAGGAAGGACACTCAGGAGAATCCTAGTGGGCAAGGGTTTCTCTTGGGGGAGGTAAAGGTCTCTGGAGCTAGATAAAGGGGATGGTTGCACAACTTTGTGACCGTCCTAAATGTCAGGAATGGCTCACTTTTAGGTGGTTAATTTTGTGTGAATTAATCTGTTTAATAAATCAAAAGGAATAGATTCTGAGTCTGGTTCTGCCAGACACTCCTATTTGGTTTGTGACCTAGGATAATCAATGATAAGAACAGAGGGATTTGTGCTATGGGGTTTCTGATAGAATAGGTTCTTTAGGATATAATCTGCATGATGTTGGCTACTGAAAGGCACAAATAGACTAGAAAATAAGGACATTCTGGACAAAGACATCCAATTCCTGGAAAACAGAGAGAGCCCCTGTCTGTTACTTTTTTGATTGCTGAGACAAAATACCAGACACTCAAAGTTAAAGGATGAAAAGTGTATTTCAGCTCATAGTTTGTAGAGGTTTCAGTCTGTAGTTAGCTGGCTCCAAGGCAGTATGGCAAGGCAGACAGGCATTGCAGAGGAGAAATGGTTCATGGTGTGGTAGGGCAGGCAGAAGGCAGAAAGCAGCAGCAGCAACTTCTTTCTGTTCCTTTATATTTCATCCAGGCTACCCACCTTTTGGGTGATGTCACTCAGAACTATGTTAAACCAATTAATGGACTAATCCACATACCCTTAATTCTAGCATCACACCCTTAATCCACATTCACACACCTTAGATCCAGCCACCAGGAAGAGGCCCTACCTATGAGCACATGAGGGTTTGGGTGAACGAGATAAAGACATAACAGCTGCTCACACCTGAAATTCACTAGGACCCCCCAAAAGGATCAGTCTGGTAAGCTGGGCAGCTCCATTTCTCTTTTTTTTTTTTTTTGGTACCGGGGATCGAACTCAGGTCCTTGCGCTTGCGAGGCAGGCGACAGAACCACTGGGCTAAATCCCTGGCCCAGGGCCGCTCCATTTCTGATTCTGCCAATAACAAACCTCTTCCATGCTCCCAACCATTCCAGAGACTGGATCCCAGTCTGGCTTCCAGGTGATGTCTAGAAGGAGGGTCAGTTGAAGTTGTTTCTGTGTAGCAATTGAAAGGGTTAGGTGAAGGAACTGTCACTGTGAGGTGACAGGGTCAGAGAAAAGGGAAAATATCTATGAGGTAACAGGCTCAGATGTAAGGACCATCACTATGAGGTAAGGTCAGATGAAGGACCTGCCACTGTGAGGTGACAGGGTCGGGTGAAGTGACAGGGCTGGGTGAAGGGGCCATTACCGTGAAGCACACATCAGGTGCTGGGCCACCCTACTTTGGTGGTGGTGATAGGTGGCTGAGGGGTGGAGAGCCAGGCTCCCCTGGGTGGCATAGAGTTGCAGAAGCCCCATCTGCCCATGGCACAGATGTGCTGTGGGTCACACAGGGCCGAGCACCCAGCTTGGACCACTATGGTGACCCTAGGATGTGACCCTCAGCCCATCTAGCCTCCTGTGCTGAGAGCCAGGTTCCCCAACCCCTTGAGCCCTGACTCAAGTCCTGGGTGTTACAAGTCCCAGAGCCATGCAACAGCAGGTGGAGATCTGTCAGTGGGGTGCACACCACCCATGAGGGAATTGTTATTTTCCTGGATGGTGTTGGGTTTTGGTTAGGTTCCAAGGGAACCCTGAAGGAGGCTGAATGAATGCAGGTTCAGTTGCCTAGATAACCCTGGCCAGGTGTCCTCTGACCCCAGGGAACTGTGGTACAGAGAGGCCAAGGCACAAGGCAGGGTCACACACAGAAAGCCATGCCCTTAGGCATGGCTCACTGGAGCCTCTGTTCTTACGGAGCCTGTTGTCTACTTCCTGTGTGTTTCCTCCACATGCTGAGTTATGTTTGCTGACATGATGTGATACCCAGTTTCTGGAGGCACATCTTCAGGGCTGGGTGAGTTTTAGTTCTCAGTGCTTTTGTCTTGGGACAGTGGCTGTAGGGCTTCTGCTCCTGGTGGCAGCCATCTGACAATCTCCTCCCCACAGGAGGCCTGCCGTGGGGGCCGAGACGTCGAATCCCTCCAAGCGGCACCGGGACCGCCTCAACGCGGAGCTGGACCACCTGGCCAGCCTGCTGCCCTTCCCTCCTGACATCATCTCCAAGCTGGACAAGCTGTCCGTCCTGCGCCTCAGCGTCAGTTACCTCCGGGTGAAGAGCTTCTTCCAAGGTGGGGCTCACCGGTGCCCACCTGTGTCCTTCTGAGACCAGCAGGGCCTGCAGTGTCCTGCTGTGATTGAGAAGTGATGTGGCCCATGTCCTCCCCCACCTGCCCTGTTGCTCACCAAGGGGTCCCTGGGTGGCACCCATGACTCAGATCAGGGACTTCTACTCGCTTGGCGAGGATCCTGGGTTTGCCGAGTGCCAGCACCAGGGCTTTGCCCCTGCCTGTCTCCCAGGGCTCTTATGGCCAGCGCCCCAAGATGGGGGCTGCTTTGTGAGGAGAAGGACCACTGGCCGGGACCCTAAGTGTTCACATGTGGCCGCTGTTTTCCCCTCCCACCCCATGCTCTTCCTGCTCCCTGCCCGCCAGACTTGCTTGATATCCTGTGTCCTGTACCAAGGCCAAGGCTGCTCTGTTCCCTTCCTGAGCCGATGCTAGGGTGACAGGTTTGTGTCCTTTCCTGCACACTGGTGCTCTTGTTCTGGCGAGAATGAAGGTGGGCAGGTACCCCTCAAGGGGCTCTGGCCCTGCTCTGCCTTCCTGCATACACAGTGTCCCTCACTGGCCTGCAATCAGACTTTTACTTGTACCCTGCTTACCAGTGTCTGCAGGCCATGGGCAGGTCCTGCCTGTCCTGGGCTTCTTAGGGTCACAGTTTTGGATGCCTGGGAGCTTGGATTTGCACACTGGTAGTGGACTGGCTCTGAGTGATGCTGCTTAGCTTGTGCTCTGGGTGCGCTGGCAGTGTCAGGCCTGAGGGGTTCCACTCTCCAGGGTAGGTCCTCGACTCTCCAGGGGCCAGGGTGGGACCAAAGAAGTGTGTCTATGTATGTCCCCCCCAGGGAGTAGGGTCTGTTTTTTTTGGTACTGGGGATCAAACTCAGGTCCTTGTGCTTGCAAGGCAGGTGGCGGAACCGCTGAGCTCCATCCTTGGCCCTAGGGAGCGGGGTACAGAAGGTGTGCACCCGTGTCTGTCCAGGGGCCGGGGCAGGGCAGTGAGGCGGTCTCTCAAACCCTCCCTGTGTAGACGCTGGGGAGGGTGGAGGTCTCTGGGTTCTTTCCTGTGGGAGCACCCGTGGGATAGGTGAGCCCTGCAGTCGATCGAGTAGACTCCTGGCCTCGAGGGACACTAACAAACCCCGTGGCTGGAGGGGACAGCCTTGGTGTCTGGCTCCAGAAGTGAAGGTGACTTAGCCATCTGCCCAGGGACACCTCCCTACATCCCCTGCCTCTCTACATCCCCTGTGTCCCTCATCAGCCAGACATGGGAAAGGTTGGGGGCATTTCCTCTCCAGACAAGTCTACCTGTGTTCAACCAGACTGCAGTGCCTCTGGAAAGCTCCAGTTCTGTTGTTCCAGCCAGTTCTGATGGCTCTCCAGGGGTCCACCCGGGTGTCTGGTTGTCACACTGACTTTCCCTTCTTGCCATTGGCTGCAGGGTCAGGGATGTGAACTGTTATACTTCTACTGATGCAGGCAGGTGCCCAGGCTGTCTGCCTGGGTCACTGTACCTTCGAGGGTTCTGCAGGTGCTGAGAGAAAGCAAACCCTTGGGTCCACGGGCTTCATGAGAGCATTCATTTCACAGCCAGGTGAAATAGTACTGTGTGTGTGTGTGCATTGGGTGGGTACTGGGGTGGAACCAAGGCCTTGTGCATGTTGGCAGCACCTGCCACAGAGCCACACCCCAGCCCCAATAACATCCCTCTTGATTTCTTCACTGCACATCTTCCCAAGCATTCTAAACTCTGAGATCTCCTTCAAGCCTTCCTGAATTTACTTCCACTGTGTAGTTAGAAAATAAATAGCCAAGCCATGAAAATTGGATCTTAGTCTATGTTTGTTGACTCAGAAACAGATGAGTCAATTTCATTAAAACGCCTGTAGAAAGTCACCTTTGGGAAGAACATGAACTGGAAAGTTTCTGCCTCAGAGGGGATAGTGGCCTGGAAATCTGCTGCAATGTTTGGGGCTGGCTTCTTGAAAGTTAAAAGGCAGTGGGTGATGCTGCTTTATTTTCTTGGTTTCTGTAGAGCAGGGGCCGGCAGTTTTCAGTTATACAACCCCTGCTTCTACCATGTTCTGTGGGTAGCTGGCAGGCCGGGATTTTCCACCCTTGTAGAATCTGTTCTTCACAAAAGGGGAAATTCAGGGTGAAGAGGAAAGCGGGAGAGGCAGTGTAGGGGCTGTCACATCTCATGGGGTTGTAGAGAGCGGAGCTGGAGCCCGTCCAGGCTCAGCACTGAGCCTGACCTTGAGGGGCTGCAAAGCTCGCCCCCCTTCCTGATCAGCTTCGGCAGAAGCACGTGGGGGTCACTTGTTTGGAAGTTCTGGCTTCCCAGGGGGCACTGCAGCCAGCAGGACAAGGTCCAGGGATGCCTCTGGGAGTGGACACCTTGGGCACTGAGGGTCCAGGGCCCAGGCCCCCCCAGGCCTGGCGTGTGGACCATGTCCACCTGATGACTCGGGCTATCTGGCAAGCAGACATGTACTTGTGGTGATAGTGCGGGGAGAGAGGATGTCTGGAATACAGTTGGAAGGGAAGGAGGAGCAGGCTCAACTCAGCCCTCTGGAAGGCCTGGAGGGCTTTTCGGAGAGACCAGCTCTCCCACCTCCTCTGCTCTGGGCTCAGTGTATGGCTCCTGTCCCCCACGCCTGGCCCTCCAGGAGCCACTGCCCAGAGCCACTCACCAGGCTGAGCAGGGGCATTAGCCTCATGCCCTCCTGTTTGGGGTCAGAGCAGAAGCCCCTGACATCACAAGCTGTGTGGTGGGATCTTGAATGCAGGATGCCACAGTCATTAGTGTGAAAGAACCAGACATCCCTGGAAACCACTCAGGACTTTAAACAGGCTTGAAGTGTGCAGTGGTTAAGTGAAAGTGCACTGATTTTCAGCTTTCCCTAAGAGTTACTCTTCTCTTGATGATTCTTGTTATGGATTGAGAGTTTGTGTCACGTGTTGAAGCCCTAATGTCGGTGTGGTCGGTGGAGATGGGACTTCTGTAATTGGTCTAAGTAAGCCTGCAGAAATGAGGCTGGGCCTGATGGGGTTACGCCCTTGTGAAAGGACATAGCAAAGAGCTCTCTAGGACCCAAGAAAGGCCACGTGAAAACAACACAAGCAGGTGGACATCCCCAGCCAGCAAGAGCCCTCACTGCGCATGTCAGCTGGCACCCAGACCTGCCCTCCAGCCTGCAGGTGTGCAAGCCGCCCAGTTTGTGGTACTGTGCTCCACGCAGCCTGAGCGGGCCAGCGTGTTGGTACTGAAAATCAAGGTGCGTTCTGAAACGTGCCTGGAAGTGTGAGCACAGCTTTGGAGGGGCAGGGGAGGTGCTGGGGAAAGCCAGGCGGTCGGGTCTGAGGGCAGCATGCCATTGCTGGGGTGGTCCTGGCAAGGCCTGGGAACGAGAGGCTGCTGCAGAGAAAGCTCCATCGTGAGGCTCGCTGGTCACCTGAAGTGGAATCTCAGCAGAAAGGAGCGGTCACAGTGGCTGTGCTGAGGGTCAGTGGGACAAGGAGCATGGCACTCACTGAGGAAAGGGCCTCGCTGTGGAGTGCCAACAGCTTGCTTCTCTGGCTCTCAAGTCTCAGGAAAGTGGGACTTGCAAGGGCTGAAACTGGATATTTAGCTAAGGAGATTTTTTTTTTTTTTTTTGCAGTACTAGGGATTGAATCCAGAGGCTCACATGTGCTAGCTAACTCTACCACTGAACTACACCCAAGTCCTTTTAGAAATATATTTTTTAAAAATTTTATGCTGGTTTATTTTTTTCCCAATTTTTAATTTTTTTGCTTTTTTTGAGACAGAGTCTCATTATGTAGTTCAGGCTGGCTTTGAACTCACTGTGTAGCCAGGCTGGTCTCAAACTCATGGCAATCCTCTTGCCTCAGCTTCCCAAGTGCTGGGATTTTAGGCATGTGCCACCACACCTGGCTCTAGAAATATTTTTTTTTTTTTGGTACCAGGGATTGAACTCAGGTCCTTGCGCTTGCAAGGCAAGCAACGGAACCACTGAACTAAATTCCCGGCCCTCTAGAAATATTTTTAACACAGGATCTTGCTGGACTCAAACTTGCCATCCTCCTGAAGATTTGGAAAACTGTCAGCCTGATCATTTTGCAAAAATTCAGAAAGGGCACAGCTGGACAGCTGAGTGCTGAGGAAACTGTGGGTGTGAACTCCAAGTCTAATCTGGAAGAGGCCTGCGGTGCTGCAGGCATGGCCAGCCTGGACCAATGGGCACAGGGAAGGCCATGGGGCCTTTCCGGCATCCCCACCTGTGAGCTTTCAGGAAGGGACAGTGTGGCCTTGATCTGGTGCAGAGACCCCAGGCTGGGGTGAGACTGCTTCCTCCGGGTTTCAGAGGCTCCCTACCAGGAGAGCCACTGGCCAGGCTGCCCATCCAGCCTGCCTGAGGGCTGAGTGATGAGACCTGGGTATTCCTCCAGGATCCCAGACCCCATGATGTGTGCCCTGTGGTTCTTGGACTTGCTTGGACCCATCACCCCTTTCTTCCCTCTGATTTCTCCCTTTTGGAAGGGAAGTGTCCATTCCATGCCTGTCCACCATGAGTGATAGAAGCACGTAACTTGTGTGGTTTCATAGGCTACTTGCTGGAGAGGAATCCTGCCTCAAGTCTCACCCAGGTCTGATTTAGGTGGTGTTTGGATGAGAATTTGGCTTCAGACTTCAGAGTTCACATGTGAAGGAGTTGAGCCTTTTAGTGCTTTGGGGATGGATGGTTTCCATGAGTACCACTGTGATTACATGGAGAGATCACTCTTGATTATTTTATAAGCTAATTTCTTTCCTACCTTTTTTAATTGTTTCCAAAAGATAAAGCTGCCCAAGAAGAAGAGGTCTTGTTCTCTCCCTCCTTCACAGTGCTTAGGTCCGCACAGGCTGCAGGAAGGAGCCTGGCCAGAACTGGCTTCTCCCCTACTGCCTCACAGACCTTTTTGCTGTTCTCCTTTGCCTTCAGAGGATCTGGTCCCTTCTTCATGGC